AAAATAACACAATCTGTTGGCATAATAGATTGATCGTTTACTAATGGAATCAGGCACCTCAAGGTTTGGCAGCGGTAGCCGGTGAAAAGCGCAGAATTCGTACATAAGCTACGGAGACCCAAACTACTGCCTTCAAAAGTGTCGAGGCCTACGAAACGTTTGTATTTATCCCTGCTTTACTGTTCGGAAGGATAATCACGATCAAAAGCAGTTACTAACGATATTTCTTCTCTATGCATGAGCATGGATGTTATGTACAATTTGATCTGATCCCACGCAGGAACAGCATCTAGCGCTTGTCTAGAAATATACCTATATTTATTTATTTATATATTTATTTTTGCACACTAAAACACAGTTTTAAGTTACACCAGGTTAGAATGTCAGCGCCTAGAGGTCAATTGTTTCACTCCTGTGCGACCAATCAACAACGGTCACCATCTTTAATGTACCCTGCTAGGTCTGCGACTATCGGGCAGCCCTTGAACACTGTCGCCACTCCATTGAATAGCAACTTGTAACTGGCTATGTTTCTTGTTTAACACTTGTTTGTTCGGTCATTCGCAGTCAGGTTCATTGGTGTTTAGTAAGCGTGAGGAGAGACCATTGTCAGCTCCGCCGATTCCGATGCAGTGTAGTTTTGACGCAAATGGCTGCGAAGCGGCAAGCCTCTGAGGTCTTCCCAGTTTTAGTATCAGAGCCCTGCTGTACTCATCAGTTGGTAGTCAAGAAGCCGTTTGAAACTCTTCTGTCGGTGCATAAGAAATGAACTCAGGCAGGCTGTTCCAGTCATTCGACATACAAATTGATAGGGCAGCCTCTGGATGGACGTGAAGTATTCGGCTCCCGTACAACTGTTACTTGTTGCATGGTGTCGAGCCGTCCAGGTTGAGCCGAAGGCACTTTTGTACCTTACTCTCCACCTCTCCTCTTGGGATTCGTCGAGCGCTGTTAGGATGTCCACGACACCGACGATAATCCATTGGGAACATGTTCAGCTTTATGAGCCGATGAGGGTAGGCAAGGCCACGTAGCTCTTTGACGGAGTTCGTGCCACGCTTCTGAACTCTTTCTGGCAAGTCGCCTTCAGATTTTAAGAGACGATAGGTAGCTCTAAGCCCATGCTCCAATATTGGGCGGATACGCGATGTGAGCAGTTTTGATAATTGACGGTGTGATAAGGGAGAATGACCTCTGTAGAGCACGCAGCATCCTGTTTGCGTCCTCAAAGTCTCTCAGGGGGTCTTGGGAAGTTCTAAGGTAGTGTGACACAATAACCCCCAGATTCTGCTCGTGCGGAGCATTATTGGGATATACACCAATCTGGTATACACGAAATGAATCCGGTTTACCAATCGGAAGGACAGCACATTTGTCGTAGTTAACGGTAGTTGTCCCTTGACGGATCAATCGTACAGCTGGTCCAGTGCCGTTTAGATACTGTCAGCGTCCTCATGACTAGCTATTTATGACCACAGCTTAGCGTCAGCATAAACTAAGCAGTCGGCTTGTAGAAGTTGAAACGCTCCGTTCCCTGGACAGAGCATTGTGGCATTCCGCTAGGCATGGACACGGAGCCTTTGCTTGAAGTGCATCTTTCAAGAAAGCTGAAACCCTTGCAAGGACGTTTCCGGCGACGCCATTTCTTGGGAGTTTGAGCAGGTCGATGGGGTGGGACTTTGTCAAAGGTCTTACTGAAGTCAAGGTACATAACATCTAGGTGTCTCCGGTCGTATACTGAGTTGACCCATACTCCTCTGGCAAAAAGCGGTTAGCGATGCAGGAGCGAGCCCTGCGGAATCCGCGCTGAGCAAGGAAGATGGCGCACAGGCTTTCGCAATGGGTGTGGAGGGCGCGCTTGACGATCCGTTCCATGAGCTCGCAGATCAAAGACGCCAAGTATAGCCGTAAATTATTCGCGGAGTCGTTCTAGTTCCATCCTTTGTATTTGGGCATTACAAGCTTTAATTTCCAGCCAGGTGGCAGGCGCCCGCCTGTAATAGAACGCCGGAAAACTTGTTGTATCGGATCAGCAATGTATTCTGCTACCATCTTGAGGAATAGACGTTAAAGTCCACCGGGGCGCGGCGAGTAGTTAGGGTTCAGTTCAAGGAGAAGTCTCTTGACTATCGCGGGATTGATTTGGACTTGCCGGAGAGAAGGGTAATGCGTTGCCAGATCATCAGTGGGTAGTGACGGTTCCACGGAGTAGATCGAGAAGTACTGCGAGGCTAGTTGTTGAGCATTCTCGTCATCTTCCTTGAGCACGGTGTTCTCCTCCTGGCAGAATATAGCAAGGATACCACAGCCAGCCTTGGTGTTTTGCTTCAAGTACGAGAATAGCTTGTTCGGGCCGGTTCGTGATTGCATAATTAGGCTGTGTCCGTCTTGTGCTCGTTTCTGGCGTTTTCTTAGGGTGCAAGGATTTCGGATCACTTTTTACTTCGAGTAATCTGACGTTACCTGTGTTGGCTTGAAAATGTCCCACAGTTTGCGTCGTTTGTACAGCTGAGAACTTTCGCCTGTCGATCCAGGAGACGTTTGGGGAAAGGCCTGCCCCCGGTTATTTGCTTGGCGACTACGAGGTACCGCGAGTTCAACTACAATCTGACCTCGGTGTTTTGCTGTCATCCGTCTTTAAGTTCAGTGCACACTGGAGGACAGCTGATCGTAAAGGTTTCAACATGTTGTGGATGATCCGTAAGTCATTTGGGAGCATGACCACCGAAATATGCGTTTGACTATTTTCGGCTTTTGTAAGGCCGCACTTGGAATACTGCGTTCAGGCTGGTTCTCCATGCGTGGCTCGTGATAAGATGGCAGTTTGCACGAGTCCTTCGGTCCGGAAAGAAAATGGTGCACGGATTAAAGAAGCTGACATACACGGAGAGGCTAAGCAAATTAAATGTATTTTCCATGTATTACAGTCGGCTTCGAGGCGAGTTGGTCCTCACATATCGCATATTAATGGGTCAGATTGGTTCTGGTTTGACCGGACTGTTTCGCCCAACTCGAGTGCCAACCCTACGTGGCCACCAATCAAAATTGCACAAAACCCGGTCTGACCGGGTTTGGGCAGATTTTCGGTTATCGCGTAGGGTCATAGATTATTAGAACGCGTTCCCTGCTAACGTCATGATGACACTGAAGGTGAAAGAGTTCAAGCATCGGCTTGACGCTCTTGGTCTGCAGTTTACAGTCTCTCCCTTCATGTCTTAAACGTTACTCGTCTACTACGGCCTACGCTTGAACTAATTTTAACTTACATCATAGTATTGCCTACGAACTTCGGTAAGCTTGTTTTCTCCTCCGTTTCCTTCCTTTTACTGACACTAATGTTTTATTTTATATTTCACGGGGCCGGCACCGCAGAGACTGCTAGTGCAAGGCACGTGGGCATTGTTCGGTTGACCGTGTGTATCGCATGTGTTGATTTGGCTCTCCTTTGGCATATCAAGGCACCGGTTTCCCTGTTGGATCCAGGACGTTTTCCAAGCTGGAACCTCCGTGGGATTTTCCCACTGTTCCGGTCCCACTTGAACTTGAACATGGTGATAGGAAGAACTTTTCCGACGACGGACATCTTCCAGCTAGGAAGTCCCATTCCTCATCAATGTTTGTGCAGTGTGAAATGTTCCAGTCTGTGGCGCTTGCGACTTCTTGTATTCTGGATGGGACACCACGCCAGAAGTTGCGACGGTGTGTCCTCTGATTACGTATGGCAAGGCGACATGCCAAAAGGAAGGAGATTGTAGAGTGGTCACTCCGTTAGAGTGGTTGGAAAATCTTCAGGCCATGGACATCTGAGAGCCCTTGTGTGATTACGAGGTCCAGTATATCTGGTGTTTGGCCCGTTATCAACCGTGTTGATGCTGAGATGTGCTGGAGCAGATTGCATTGGTGAATAGCGTCGAGAAAGCCAGCCGCGACGGAACATGGTAAAGAGCAAGTGAAAAAGCTTATGTCGACTGTGGTTGCATTGAAGCCGCCCATTAGCATACACCTATTTCCTCGACCATTGGCTTATACCGACTGTAACAGACGGACGCCTGAGCTCAGTAGTGCTCTGTGAGCCACACTGACCGCGTGCAGCTGATAACCGTCATGAATTCGGTACAACAGTATCTCTGAGACCCATCACTGTTACAGATAGCTTTGGTAATGTGTACCTTGAGACAGGACTTTGACTAGATAGGTACTGCACCCCTAGTCTGCCAGCTGGAGCGAGGAGCTTGTAAGCGTTGATAGTCTGATAAGCTTACCACAAACTCATAAAGCTCTGGTGATAATCAGGTCTCGGTGAAGTCCAGTAAATCTTTGTTGTGCTAAGTAATGAGAAGAGGAATCTCGTCGAGCTAATGTTTTAGGCTGCGTACATTGGTAAATATCACTCGCGAACCGCTATTTATAAATGGGGGCTGGGTAGCAGAAGGATTGGCTTGCGGCGCGTTCTCTCTGTTTTCAGAACAACGCGGAAATCCACAATGTGGAGATCAGTTTTGACGTTCGCTCGGTGGGTTCGCAGTTCGTTGGCGGTTTGTCTCAGTCTGACTCTATCTTTTGGGAAAATCCTTTCAGAACAAAGAAGGTTTATCCTTTGAGACGCGAGGTAGGCCTGAGGATACGGTGATATACATCCTCATCCTAACAGACGACTTGTAGCAGGCGAGTCTTGGATGGATCATCCTGCCTTTTACCAAGCCGGAAAGCAGAGACGATGTTGTTAACCTGCTCGCCTTCATCGAATAGGATGGATACCATCCGCTTCAAAAAGCCTGGTCATCAAGAATGCTTTCAGTTGATGATTCTTTCTCGGATTCAGGAGCGTACGTAATTATTAAGTAAAACTCATGAGGTTCAAGGTTTCCTCCTGAAAGACCTAGCATTTGTGGGACTGGCTTTTATTTAACGAGCAGTTGATCTTGGATAACTTTGTCAAGAAAAAACTCCAGTTGGTTTGTGTTATAATCTTCTCACTAGACGCAACTCCAAAAATAACAATTCACTGCTCCGCAAAACTTCTAGCCCAACCGAAGGAAAAAAGCAGAACGCCAATGACCCTGACAAATAACGTATTAATCGCAGCCAACGAACACTGTACAACGACTGAGGACCCTGGCTGTATTTATAGGTCTCTGCTGACCTTCGACTTCTAGAATTGGAAGGTCAGCTGCCAAGGTTAGTGGTTCCCCATATCTTTTCCCGAGAGGTCAGGTGGATTTTGATCACGTGTAGAAGAAGAACATTCAGGAACGTTCGAAATCGATGCGATAATCGTTAATAATCGATTAATCGCTAAAATAGGGAATTTCCAAGGCAATTCTTACTTTCTCCCGGACACCTCCCCTCCTGAGATATGTTCCGAGGTGTAAGAGGAAAGCCTGGGATCAACTTGCAGTCTTCGGGACGGTGTTCTCTGCCTGTCGGTCCACCTCCTTGGCAGAAGCGCCCGAGAACTTTGTTCCGATGTTCTTGTTCTGGATTCGTTGCTCGACCTTGGGCAGTCGTCCACTGTTACCTTCGGCAGGTTGAAAGTTTCCACCAGTAAATCGAACGGGAGGTCAGTAGGCCTTTCTTGTTCTGGCTGGCACAATGTGGGCCGTAACTGGTTTGCATGCCGCGGCCAGACCTGTGCGCCCACCTTCACGTCATACATGACGTTTCCGCGCTTGCTTTTGACCGTCCCTGGCGTCCACTTCGCATGGCCATCCCGGTAGTCACGTACTAGCACCTTCTGTCCAAGCGTGAATGATCGCTTCTTTGCTCCATGCCGCCGGTTAAACTCCTGTTCCATTCTGCGGTTTCTTTCACCAACAGAGGACTCCGAGCCCGGTCGGATGGCGTCGAAAGGCATGCGGAGCTTCCGGTTCATCATGACCTGTGCTGGAGAGACTCCGTCTGGTGCTTGTGGATTCGGTGTTGATCGGTAGAGGAAAAGGAACCGGTCAACCACCTCCTCTATACGTCCCTCCCCTTTTGATTTTTGGAGAGCTCGCTTGAATGTGTCGACAAATCTTTCTGCCTGGCCATTCGACTGTGGGTGAAACGGCGGCGAGCGAACGTGCTGGACGGCGCATTGCTTGCAAAACTCCTTAAACGCTGCTGAAGTAAACTGTGAGCCATTGTCAGTGACCATTGTCTCAGGACAGCCGAATCTGCTAAAGGCTTGGCGCAGTTTCGATATGGTGGCATTGGTGGTTGTGTTATCCATGAGAAATACTTCTGGCCACTTGCTGTATGAGTCGACTATAATGAGGAAACTTCTCCCGTTGATCGGCCCTGCAAAGTCGACATGAATGCGGCACCACGGCTTAGTAACTATTGGCCATGAACAGAGTTCTGCTTTCGGTGGCGCTTTCAAGACATCGGCACACTTTTGGCAGCGTCTGGCTATTTCTTCTAACTGTTTGTCCATTAAGGGCCAGTATACATAACTGCGGGCAAGCGCCTTCATCCGGTTGATTCCAGGATGCCCGGCGTGGAACTGTCGAATAAGGCGCTCCTGAAGTGCCTTGGGGATGACCACTCTTTCCGAAAATAGTATGCAATCGTTTACAATAGAGAGTGAGTGTCTCCTCTGAAAATACTGTTGCAACTCGGCGGATGGACATGAACGTGGCCAACTTGTTTTGTGAAACTGAGTAACCTTCTTGAGTATTGGGTCCCGAAGTGTTTCGGTCCGTACAGCTTCTGCGGTAACTGGTAGACAGTGCAGTGCATCAGTTACCAGAAAGTTGACGTCTGGTTCAATCTCCACCGAGGCAATGATTGTGTCTTCATGTTCTTGCTGACGGGTATCAATTAGGCGTGACAGTGCATCTGCTTGGCCAATGGAAACTGTCGACTGATATTGGATCTCGAAATCATACCCCATTAAGGTAAGAGCCCAACGTTGTAGCCTGTTGGCTGTGTAGGCCGGGATGCCCTTTTTCGAACCAAAGATAGCGAGCAAGGGTTTGTGATCTGTCAGAAGCTTGAAGCGGCGGCCGTATAGCATTTTGTGGAATTTCTTAACCGCGTACACTATGGCCAATGCTTCTTTCTCAATCTGACTGTAGTTCTTCTCGGCCTTCGTAAGGGTTCTGGCGGCATGGGCGATTGCTTTTTGAGATCCATCGGTGTACGTGTGTGCAATTACTGCACCAATCCCATGGCTTGATGCATCTGTGGTTAGGACGATCTCTTTGGAGGGATCGAAATGTGTCAAAAGCAAGTTTGAAGACAACAGTGACTTGACGCGTTCGAAGGCATTCTGACATTCTGCTGTCCAGTTCCAAGGTTGTCCTTTGGATAGTAGCTTGTTTAACGGGGCACGCAAGCGGTGCATCTCAGGCAAAAATGCGCTGTAGTGGCTGATGAGCCCACAAAAGGAACGCAGAGACTGTAGATCTGTGGGTGGAGGCATTTTTCTAATGGCTTCGATGTTTTCCGGGTCTGGTCGACGTCCATCCTTTTCGAGGATAAACCCGAGGTATTTGATGAGCGGCGTGAAAAATGTGCATTTATCCTCACGGATCCGGAAGCCGTACGACTGTATGCAACCAAGCACTTCATCCAAGCGGTTGAAGAGTTCTTCCGGTGTTCGACCCATCACTATGATATCGTCCAGATATGCAGCGGTTCCAGAAACACCCGCTAGCATGGTATCCATCAACTGTTGGAAGATGGCTGGCGCCGTTTTCACACCAAATGGCAAGCGGTTGTATTGGAATAGCCCACGATGAGTGTTGATCGTCAACAACTCCCTCGAGACTTCGTCAACATCCACTTGCAGATAAGCATCGGATAGATCAAGCTTAGCAAAGTACTTACCACCATTCAGCTTTGCAAAGATATCCTCCGGTACAGGTAAGGGGTACTGGTGGTCATCCAGCGCGGCGTTGAGGCCAGTTGAAAAGTCAGCGCAGACGCGTACCTTGCCATTTGCTTTCTTCACTGCGACAATAGGTGCGGCCCATGATGAGTAGTTGACGGCTGTGATGACTCCGGCACGTTCCAGTCGATCGAGCTCTTGCTCAACGGTTGACATGGCTGCATATGGTACCGGTCTTTTAGCCTTGAACACTGGTTTAGCACCTGGTCGCAAGTTCAGTGTTGCCTTGAATTTCGTACAGTGGCCCAAGCCATCCTGAAAGACAGAAGCAAATTTTCGCTTCAGGGTACGTGTCATGTCTTCGACGGACTTTGCAGATGGGTCTGGACTTGCTCGAACTCGGTTGCAGATCTGATTCAAGGGAACATCGAGGAGGTTCAACTTTTCAATCCAGTCGAGGCCAAGAAGATTCAAATTCGGCCGGTCCGAAATGTAGCATGTTCCCGACTTCTCCACACCTTGGAAAGCAATCTTGCAATTGAGTTCGCCCACTAAGCGTAACACACCGCCGGATGCATTATGTGCAACTTTCTGAGACTCGACCATCTTCGGCCTCTTTATGTGATTCCATGTGCGCCTGGAAATGATTGTGATGTCTGAGGCCGTGTCAAATTGCAGTTTCGTTGGGATCCCATTGATTAACACAGTGATGAATCGTCGTCTCGGTTTACACTCGCTTTGGAATGCGGCAACTATGGAGAGAGACTCAGCGCCGCCCCTTCTAGAATTACCCTTTCGATAAGACTTCTGCACTTTCTTCGACCGGACTTGACTGCAGCATTCCTCTTTATGCCCACGCTTATGACACGTTTGACAAATATGTTGTTTGAAGGGACAAAAGCGAGCGAAATGCCATTCGCCGCATGACCAGCATGCTGTGGGCGGTTTCTTCGTAGGCCTCTTGAAGGATTTGCTTGCGTTGGCGGTCCTGGTCTTTTTCACGAGTTGCACGGTATCTGGTGGTGCGAGACCATTGCGTTCGACCATGGCAGTGTCGTGTTTTAGAGTGAGAAGCCGTTTGCATTCGCTTACGAGGGCCTTCAGTGTCAGATCAGGATCCTGCTCCAGCTTAGCTAAAAGCCGCGTTCGGATCTCAGCATCACTGGGCGATTGTAGAGCACTGACGAAAATGAGACACTTAAACTGATCGTCCGTTAAAGAGCGTAGTTTGAAACGTTCACACTCACGGTTAATCATGTCTGCTAAGGCCCCAAAATCGTCAGATTCCTGTTTGACTATTTTCAGGCATTGATAGCGAATACTAAACAAGGACACCGACTCACCAAAAATTTCTTTCAACTGCGACACTGCTTCGTCAAATGTCAGATCCTTCGGCTGTTTGGGCAAAATGTGGTCTATGAACCTTGAATGTTCACTTATTCCGAGCTTGCGGAGTAGCAATCGCACCTTCCAGGAGTCGTCCTGACGAATGAAGTCCGTCTGGAACATGTCTTCCCAGCGTTTGAACCACGCTTCGAAAGTGCTTCCAGAATCCGCATCATAATGGAATTCAGTGATGGCGTTCGTGAGAAGATCAACAGAACTCGCCTGCGTGTCCCGCGTCGCTGCTCCAGTTGTCTGCAAACTCAAGCATTTTGTCAGATTTTCAATCATTTTCATTTGCGCCTCCATTTGAGCTTGCTGTTGAAAAAGCAGCTTTTGAAATTGTTCGGCAGAAAAATTCATCACATTTCCACTTTTCTCCGTCGCCATTTGTTATAATCTTCTCACTAGACGCAATTCCAAAAATAACAATTCACTGCTCCACAAAACTTCTAGCCCAACCGAAGGAAAAAAGCAAAACGCCAATGACCCTGACAAATAACGTATTAATCGCAGCCAACGAACACTGTACAACAACTGCGGACCTTGGCTGTATTTATAGGTCTCTACTGACCTTCGACTTCTAGAATTGGAAGGTCAGCTGCCAAGGTTAGTGGTTCCCCATATCTTTTCCCGAGAGGTCAGGTGGATTTTGATCACGTGTAGAAGAAGAACATTCAGGAACGTTCGAAATCGATGCGATAATCGTTAATAATCGATTAATCGCTAAAATAGGGAATTTCCAAGGCAATTCTTACTTTCTCCCGGACACCTCCCCTCCTGAGATATGTTCCGAGGTGTAAGAGGAAAGCCTGGGATTAACTTGCAGTCTTCGGGACGGTGTTCTCTGCCTGTCGGTCCACCTCCTTGGCAGAAGCGCCCGAGAACTTTGTTCCGATGTTCTTGTTCTGGATTCGTTGCTCGACCTTGTGCAGTCGTCCACTGTTACCTTCGGCAGGTTGAAAGTTTCCACCAGTAAATCGAACGGGAGGTCAGTAGGCCTTTCTTGTTCTGGCTGGCACAATGTGGGCCGTAACTGGTTTGCATGCCGCGGCCAGACCTGTGCGCCCACCTTCACGTCATACATGACGTTTCCGCGCTTGCTTTTGACCGTCCCTGGCGTCCATTTCGCATGGCCTTCCCGGTAGTCACGTACTAGCACCTTCTGTCCAAGCGTGAATGATCGCTTCTTTGCTCCATGCCGCCGGTTAAACTCCTGTTCCATTCTGCGGTTTCTTTCACCAACAGAGGACTCCGAGCCCGGTCGGATGGCGTCGAAAGGCATGCGGAGCTTCCGGTTCATCATGGCCTGTGCTGGAGAGACTCCGTCTGGCGCTTGTGGATTCGGTGTTGATCGGTAGAGGAAAAGGAACCGGTCAACCACCTCCTCTATACGTCCCTCCCCTTTTGATTTGTGGAGAGCTCGCTTGAATGTGTCGACAAATCTTTCTGCCTGGCCATTCGACTGTGGGTGAAACGGCGGCGAGCGAACGTGCTGGACGGCGCATTGCTTGCAAAACTCCTTAAACGCTGCTGAAGTAAACTGTGAGCCATTGTCAGTGACCATTGTCTCAGGACAGCCGAATCTGCTAAAGGCTTGGCGCAGTTTCGATATGGTGGCATTGGTGGTTGTGTTATCCATGAGAAATACTTCTGGCCACTTGCTGTATGAGTCGACTATAATGAGGAAACTTCTCCCGTTGATCGGCCCTGCAAAGTCGACATGAATGCGGCACCACGGCTTAGTAACTATTGGCCATGAACAGAGTTCTGCTTTCGGTGGCGCTTTCAAGACATCGGCACACTTTTGGCAGCGTCTGGCTATTTCTTCTAACTGTTTGTCCATTAAGGGCCAGTATACATAACTGCGGGCAAGCGCCTTCATCCGGTTGATTCCAGGATGCCCGGCGTGGAACTGTCGAATAAGGCGCTCCTGAAGTGCCTTGGGGATGACCACTCTTTCCGAAAATAGTATGCAATCGTTTACAATAGAGAGTGAGTGTCTCCTCTGAAAATACTGTTGCAACTCGGCAGATGGACATGAACGTGGCCAACTTGTTTTGTGAAACTGAGTAACCTTCTTGAGTATTGGGTCCCGAAGTGTTTCGGTCCGTACAGCTTCTGCGGTAACTGGTAGACAGTGCAGTGCATCAGTTACCAGAAAGTTGACGTCTGGTTCAATCTCCACCGAGGCAATGATTGTGTCTTCATGTTCTTGCTGACGGGTATCAATTAGGCGTGACAGTGCATCTGCTTGGCCAATGGAAACTGTCGACTGATATTGGATCTCGAAATCATACCCCATTAAGGTAAGAGCCCAACGTTGTAGCCTGTTGGCTGTGTAGGCCGGGATGCCCTTTTTCGAACCAAAGATAGCGAGCAAGGGTTTGTGATCTGTCAGAAGCTTGAAGCGGCGGCCGTATAGCATTTTGTGGAATTTCTTAACCGCGTACACTATGGCCAATGCTTCTTTCTCAATCTGACTGTAGTTCTTCTCGGCCTTCGTAAGGGTTCTGGCGGCATGGGCGATTGCTTTTTGAGATCCATCGGTGTACGTGTGTGCAATTACTGCACCAATCCCATGGCTTGATGCATCTGTGGTTAGGACGATCTCTTTGGAGGGATCGAAATGGGTCAAAAGCAAGTTTGAAGACAACAGTGACTTGACGCGTTCGAAGGCATTCTGACATTCTGCTGTCCAGTTCCAAGGTTGTCCTTTGGATAGTAGCTTGTTTAACGGGGCACGCAAGCGGTGCATCTCAGGCAAAAATGCGCTGTAGTGGCTGATGAGCCCACAAAAGGAACGCAGAGACTGTAGATCTGTGGGTGGAGGCATTTTTCTAATGGCTTCGATGTTTTCCGGGTCTGGTCGACGTCCATCCTTTTCGAGGATAAACCCGAGGTATTTGATGAGCGGCGTGAAAAATGTGCATTTATCCTCACGGATCCGGAAGCCGTACGACTGTATGCAACCAAGCACTTCATCCAAGCGGTTGAAGAGTTCTTCCGGTGTTCGACCCATCACTATGATATCGTCCAGATATGCAGCGGTTCCAGAAACTCCCGCTAGCATGGTATCCATCAACTGTTGGAAGATGGCTGGCGCCGTTTTCACACCAAATGGCAAGCGGTTGTATTGGAATAGCCCACGATGAGTGTTGATCGTCAACAACTCCCTCGAGACTTCGTCAACATCCACTTGCAGATAAGCATCGGATAGATCAAGCTTAGCAAAGTACTTACCACCATTCAGCTTTGCAAAGATATCCTCCGGTACAGGTAATGGGTACTGGTGGTCATCCAGCGCGGCGTTGAGGCCAGTTGAAAAGTCAGCGCAGACGCGTACCTTGCCATTTGCTTTCTTCACTGCGACAATAGGTGCGGCCCATGATGAGTAGTTGACGGCTGTGATGACTCCGGCACGTTCCAGTCGATCGAGCTCTTGCTCAACGGTTGACATGGCTGCATATGGTACCGGTCTTTTAGCCTTGAACACTGGTTTAGCACCTGGTCGCAAGTTCAGTGTTGCCTTGAATTTCGTACAGTGGCCCAAGCCATCCTGAAAGACAGAAGCAAATTTTCGCTTCAGGGTACGTGTCATGTCTTCGACGGACTTTGCAGATGGGTCTGGACTTGCTCGAACTCGGTTGCAGATCTGATTCAAGGGAACATCGAGGAGGTTCAACTTTTCAATCCAGTCGAGGCCAAGAAGATTCAAATTCGGCCGGTCCGAAATGTAGCATGTTCCCGACTTTTCCACACCTTGGAAAGCAATCTTGCAATTGAGTTCGCCCACTAAGCGTAACACACCGCCGGATGCATTATGTGCAACTTTCTGTGACTCGACCATCTTCGGCCTCTTTATGTGATTCCATGTGCGCCTGGAAATGATTGTGATGTCTGAGGCCGTGTCAAATTGCAGTTTCGTTGGGATCCCATTGATTAACACAGTGATGAATCGTCGTCTCGGTTTACACTCGCTTTGGAATGCGGCAACTATGGAGAGAGACTCAGCGCCGCCCCTTCTAGAATTACCTTTCGATAAGACTTCTGCACTTTCTTCGACCGGACTTGACTGCAGCATTCCTCTTTATGCCCACGCTTATGACACGTTTGACAAATATGTTGTTTGAAGGGACAAAAGCGAGCGAAATGCCATTCGCCGCATGACCAGCATGCTGTGGGCGGTTTCTTCGTAGGCCTCTTGAAGGATTTGCTTGCGTTGGCGGTCCTGGTCTTTTTCACGAGTTGCACGGTATCTGGTGGTGCGAGACCATTGCGTTCGACCATGGCAGTGTCGTGTTTTAGAGTGAGCAGCCGTTTGCATTCGCTTACGAGGGCCTTCAGTGTCAGATCAGGATCCTGCTCCAGCTTAGCTAAAAGCCGCGTTCGGATCTCAGCATCACTGGGCGATTGTAGAGCACTGACGAAAATGAGACACTTAAACTGATCGTCCGTTAAAGAGCGTAGTTTGAAACGTTCACACTCACGGTTAATCATGTCTGCTAAGGCCCCAAAATCGTCAGATTCCTGTTTGACTATTTTCAGGCATTGATAGCGAATACTAAACAAGGACACCGACTCACCAAAAATTTCTTTCAACTGCGACACTGCTTCGTCAAATGTCAGATCCTTCGGCTGTTTGGGCAAAATGTGGTCTATGAACCTTGAATGTTCACTTATTCCGAGCTTGCGGAGTAGCAATCGCACCTTCCAGGAGTCGTCCTGACGAATGAAGTCCGTCTGGAACATGTCTTCCCAGCGTTTGAACCACGCTTCGAAAGTGCTTCCAGAATCCGCATCATAATGGAATTCAGTGATGGCGTTCGTGAGAAGATCAACAGAACTCGCCTGCGTGTCCCGCGTCGCTGCTCCAGTTGTCTGCAAACTCAAGCATTTTGTCAGATTTTCAATCATTTTCATTTGCGCCTCCATTTGAGCTTGCTGTTGAAAAAGCAGCTTTTGAAATTGTTCGGCAGAAAAATTCATCACATTTCCACTTTTCTCCGTCGCCATTTGTTATAATCTTCTCACTAGACGCAACTCCAAAAATAACAATTCACTGCTCCGCAAAACTTCTAGCCCAACCGAAGGAAAAAAGCAAACGCCAATGACCCTGACAAATAACGTATTAATCGCAGCCAACGAACACTGTACAACGACTGCGGACCTTGGCTGTATTTATAGGTCTCTACTGACCTTCGACTTCTAGAATTGGAAGGTCAGCTGCCAAGGTTAGTGGTTCCCCATATCTTTTGCCGAGAGGTCAGGTGGATTTTGATCACGTGTAGAAGAAGAACATTCAGGAACGTTCGAAATCGATGCGATAATCGTTAATAATCGATTAATCGCTAAAATAGGGAATTTCCAAGGCAATTCTTACTTTCTCCCGGACACCTCCCCTCCTGAGATATGTTCCGAGGTGTAAGAGGAAAGCCTGGGATTAACTTGCAGTCTTCGGGACGGTGTTCTCTGCCTGTCGGTCCACCTCCTTGGCAGAAGCGCCCGAGAACTTTGTTCCGATGTTCTTGTTCTGGATTCGTTGCTCGACCTTGGGCAGTCGTCCACTGTTACCTTCGGCAGGTTGAAAGTTTCCACCAGTAAATCGAACGGGAGGTCAGTAGGCCTTTCTTGTTCTGGCTGGCACAATGTGGGCCGTAACTGGTTTGCATGCCGCGGCCAGACCTGTGCGCCCACCTTCACGTCATACATGACGTTTCCGCGCTTGCTTTTGACCGTCCCTGGCGTCCATTTCGCATGGCCTTCCCGGTAGTCACGTACTAGCACCTTCTGTCCAAGCGTGAATGATCGCTTCTTTGCTCCATGCCGCCGGTTAAACTCCTGTTCCATTCTGCGGTTTCTTTCACCAACAGAGGACTCCGAGCCCGGTCGGATGGCGTCGAAAGGCATGCGGAGCTTCCGGTTCATCATGGCCTGTGCTGGAGAGACTCCGTCTGGCGCTTGTGGATTCGGTGTTGATCGGTAGAGGAAAAGGAACCGGTCAACCACCTCCTCTATACGTCCCTCCCCTTTTGATTTGTGGAGAGCTCGCTTGAATGTGTCGACAAATCTTTCTGCCTGGCCATTCGACTGTGGGTGAAACGGCGGCGAGCGAACGTGCTGGACGGCGCATTGCTTGCAAAACTCCTTAAACGCTGCTGAAGTAAACTGTGAGCCACTGTCAGTGACCATTGTCTCAGGACAGCCGAATCTGCTAAAGGCTTGGCGCAGTTTCGATATGGTGGCATTGGTGGTTGTGTTATCCATGAGAAATACTTCTGGC